TTAAAACACACCAAAATGCACAACATCACATGTAAATCACATTAAAAATGCATGTAAAAAAAAGTAATCAGACATATTATGCAATGCAGAGGTATAAATGCACTGCTATTGTCTAAATTACATCCAACAGTGTGTGCTATTTCATCCCAGCAAACAAACATTTTAGGAGTCGTGTCATAGACAGATACATGTAAACTGCTGCAAGTACATGTTGTCATTTTCAAGTTTCATGTTGAAACTCCAGACACCGGTCACACTGGGTATGACTTGGCATGCCATGTGATTTGCAAATACCATGGCAAGTTGAACCTTATTGTTCCCAGTTACAGTAGTCATATCGGTGCAATTCCTGCTTGGTCGAAGCCACACCGATTTCTAAAGTAGTGCATGCAGTACTTTAGGTGTGACTTGCATAGAAATCTGTGTCTTGCAAGCCGCAGATGTCTTGAAAGTCACACCCCAAGTCGGAATACCATCCAACTTTGAAATTTCAAAGTTGGATTGGTGTGATCGAGATGTAACCCATTTGTCTGCAGGGAAATTGGAATATTTTGGCAAAGAAGCATGAATAATGGAGCAATGCACCCAATCCACTACATCCATATTTGCCAACATACCATAACCACTTTACCCATGTTATAGATATGTTTGTTGATTACTGAAAATCAAGCACGCAGCAAAGATGCATGCTTACTCACTTATGAGCAGGTTTGTAAAAGTATAAACACCATTTCCATTACAAAGTGCCTACTAATAAGGTATTTCTATTTGTGGGTTGTTTTATTTTTAATGAACACTTAAAAAAGCATAAAAAAAGAACACGAACAAAAAAAATACATATGATACACACAAATAAAAGAATGGTACAAAGTATATTTATAGCAAAAAAAAAAAAATATGGAAAGAATTGTTACGATGAGAGATGGGAGTTCTTCAGGAGCTATTTAAAGATAAGTAGTTTATGAGAGTTAAATAAAAAGAATGTTTATTGAAAGCATAAAAAGGCTGTGATCTGAAGGAACATGCTTTAACAATGTTATAAACTACATTAAATGCTCATGAAGGGCCCTTTTACATGGGCTTTCTGATTAAATCTGCCTGTGAGTTTCCAGACCTGATAGGAAGCTCCCTGCAGCTCCATAGGCAGGCTGATGCAAACGGTCTTGTCCATTTACACCCATCTACTCCCGAGTCCACCCAAGTCTGGGAAATAAAAACTGAAAAGGACTGTGTCCTTTTCTGTTTTTTTGGACCTAAACAAGGCAGGTTGGAGGTAGCCTGATGTAAACACAAATACATTTGCATCCAGCCACCCATAGAGCTATCAAGGGTCCGCTCGTGTCTGTTGAACATAAACTGAGAGGGACAGATGTAAAAAAAAAAATAACATCCATTGCATTAAGCTCTGCATTCTGCAGAAGTCACAGGATGACATCTTGCAATCATACACATTGTGGACAAGTATGTAAAGTGGTGTTCCCACTATTAAAGAGTCAGCCCCATTAAAAGTGGCATTTTGCTATTAGATGAAACATTATAGGATTCAGCTCCTGGCTTCAAAATTGCTCCGATGCTGCAAATTGCATGATTTTCCAGTCATAGTTCTGCAGAATGTGTTGCATTGACTGGGTGATAATGTGAGTGTTTTTTTTTTTCATTATCTTATATATTATATATTATGTATTAAATATATATTATGTATTTTGCATATTTTGAGAATTATGGGCCACAACATTGATATTAAGAAAGAGGTTTTGTTTTTTGTATATTCCTATATCATTACAGTTTTTTATATATCGTTTTTTCATTGAAAGTTTTTTGTGTATACATTGGTTTGTGTATTTTAGGTATCAATATTGCTTTCACTGAGGTTTCACCCAGCATTCCTTGGTATAGAGCCCCGTGATATGTGGTGCTCCATCTGAGGTTATTTGATGGTCCTTACTCTGCCCTGCCCCTCTGGCCATTGTGGAATGTACAGCTAAAATAAAAGATTTGGTCACATGGTGCAGCAAGTTCCATCTTTGGTGGGTTTTCACCCATCATTGAAATTCTGTATGCTCTTCTGATGACATCTTTGGAACACATCTACCATGCTAATTCTTTATACTGTTGAATGGTGAATTACTTTTTTAAATCAGATTTTACTTTATCTACAAGTTATATGTATTACAAAATTTGCATTGCATGTCTTTTACTTTAGTGGAATAGTACATGAATATCTGAATAAGTTGGAGCTATGGATGAATTTTTATGTTGAGACTGTATTGTTTTATTACATACTGACCATAGGAAGTGTTCCTTTTGCCTATATTTAAACAAATTGCTATGTTGGAAGCAGGAGTGGACTGACAACTCATGGGGCCCCCGAGCAGTAGGGGATCATGGGGACCCTGTGTCCTCGCCCACACTCAAACCACACCCAAAAAAGCCTATGAAAGGTACCAGGGGTATCTCATGGGGCCCCCTACTGAACCCGGGCCCTCGGGCAATGCCCGAGTGCTCAAATGGTCAGTCCGCCCCTGGTTGGAAGTATATTATTGTCTTATACAAGCTATGGATAGTGGATGGGAGGAAGCCTGTAAGATAGCAAGGAGATATTTGCTTTGAGTGCCTGCTCATGTGTGATAAGCTATTTTGTTTGCAATATCTACTGAGTAGGCTATCTGCTATCTGTTGGAGGTATCCGGTTTATTGCATATTTATCCTATCTGGAGCTCACACAACTCATGCTAAATATATTTTTTTAATTTTAACTACAACCAATGGGAAAACTTTTCTGCAAAGGGATACAATGATATACTAGTGTAGATTTACTAAAACTGGAGTGTGCAAACTCTGGTGAAGCTCTGCATAGAAACCAATCAGCTTCCAGGTTTTGTTATCAAAGCTTAATTGAACAAGCTGAAGTTAGGAAGGTGAATGGCTACCATGCACAGGCGCACCAGATTCAGAGTGCTCCAGTTTTAGTAAATCACCCCCACTGTATACATAGTGGTTGACTTTTAAAAGTGAAGTAAAATTTCTGTGTCAGATAACAGCAATTAACCACTTCAATACAGGACACTTTCATCCCTTTCCTGCCCAGGCCAATTTTCAGTTTTCAGAACTGTCACATTTTGAATGACAAATATTATTGCAACACAGTACCCATATGAAATATTAATAATAATAATAATTATTATTATTATTATTATTACTACTATTACTTTTCACACAAATAGAGCTTTTTTTGGTGGTATTTAATCACCACTGGGTTTTTATCTTTTGCTAGATATACTAAAAAAGACCAGACATTTTGAATAAAAAACACATTTTTCTTTGTTTCTGTTATAAAATATTGCAAATAAATAATCTTTATTCATAAATTTAGGCCAGAATGTATACTGCTACATTTCTTTGGTGAAAATAACCCAATCGGTATATAATATTTAGTCTGTAGCAAAGTTACAGAGTGCACAAACTATGGTATATATATTTGAAATTGATCAATCCTGATGTACTGATGGCCTTATATCTTGAGGCACTAAAATGCCAGGACAGTACAAATATCCTCCAAATGACTCCTTTTTGAAAAGTAGACAGTCCAAGGTGTTTAGCAAGAAGCATGGCAAGTTTTTTGAAGTTGTAGTTTTTTGTCACATTTTTTTGGAAAATGAAAAAAATAAGAAAATGTGGGTTTTTTCACAAATTTAATACTGTCAACAGTGCAGTACAGCATTATCATATAACTGGTGTGCTGGTAACCAGGGATATTGACTGGTGAGTATTAAAAAAAAATAAAAAAAATAATTATTTTTATTGCAATTGTTTTTAAGTTTTTTTTTTTACATACTGTGACCAGAGCAATACAATTTTACTATAGTGTCACTGTACTACTCTGGGAAGGTGATCAGGATTTTTGCACACACTATGTTTGTTTATAAAAGTGAATATTACTGTTAAAAAAGTAACCATTTTTCATGAATAAAATCTGTTCATCCAGTGTGTACTATTGTGAAGCTGTGTTCGGCCACCGCTTTTACATGGTACAGATGAACTGTGATTGGCCCTTTCTGTACCATGTGATCATTGTGGCCAATCACAGAGACCAACACAATAGTACACAATAATTGGCTATAAATAGAAGCCATTAATTGTGTACAATTGCCACGTGATCTGCTGTGATTGGCCACAATGATCACATGGTACTGGCAAAGGCTCGGTACACTAATCTGTCATCTACAGTGTAAGGTGGACACAGCGGGGAAAAGATCGCATCGCAGCACCACATCCGTCCACCCAAGATGGCAGTCCTCTCGCTGGGCCGTCATATTATAAAAGGCCAGGTGGAAATCGGTTAAACATACATTCAGCTGCTTGTTGGAGCTGCTCCTATTTAAATTCAGAATTCATTCATATCTTCTGGACATGTTAAGGCATGAATACATACTGGCCCCAGGTCCTGCAATCCATTGTTCTTATAACCACCATTCAGATACCCTAGGACCTTGAGGATGGTTTGCTGGGCTTTGGACTCCCACCCTTGGCTCTCAAAAAGTGATCAGAACTTTATTCAGTATACTGCTCTACTATGGCAGAAAGGAAATTGTGCTTATTTGGAAATCTCTGGCAACACCGACTCTAAATTGTTTGAAAATATTTGTAAACTCTATATAAGCATATATGAAATATTAATTATACATTAAGTGTATCCTTGCATGTGCAAACCATGCAAATAAATTATGCATCAAATGACAATTCATATATATCAGAAAAAAAGAAAGAACAAACTCAGACTTTACTGTCAATGCAAAGGGAACACAAACATAATATATAACCATCTTTTATTTACAATCTCATTAAAATGGCTTGAGTGTCAAGCTAAAGTATATATTAAGAATACAAACTGCAATAAATGATATTGTAGTGATTTTAACTGCTATCTCACTCCCTCATTCTAATATACGCCTTATCTTACATCAATAGGTATACACTATATTGCCAAAAGTATTGGGACACCCCTCCAAAGCATTGGATTCAGGTGTTCCAATCACCTCCATGGTCACAGGTGTATAAAATCAAGCACTTAGGCATGCAGACTGCTTCTACAAACATTTGTGAAAGAATGGGTCACCCTCAGGAGCTCGGTGAATTCAAGCATGGTACTGTGATAGGTTGCCACCTGTGCCATAAGTCCAACCTTGAAATTTCCTTGCTACTAAATATTCCACGGTCAACTGTTGATGGTATTATAGCAAAGTGGAAGACACTGGGAACAACAACAACAGCCACGTAAAATTACAGAGTGGGGTCAGCGCATGCTAAAGCGCACAGTGTGCAGAAGTCACTAACTATCTGCAGAGTTAATAGCTAAAGACCTCCAAACTTCATGTGTCCTTCAGATTAGCACAACAACATTGCGTAGAGAGCTTAATGGAATGGGTTTCCATGGCTGAGCAGCTGCATCCAAGCCTTACATCACCAAGTAACATGAAAAGCGTCGGATGCAGTGGTATAAAGCACGCCACCACTGGACTCTAGAGCAGTGGAGATGTGTTCTCTGGAGTGACAAATCACGCTTCTCAGTCTAGCAATCTGATGGACATGTCTAGGTTTGGCAGTTGCCAGGAGAACGGTATTTTCCTGACTGCATTGTGCCAGGTGTAAAGTTTGGTGGAGGGAGGATTATGGTGTGGGGTTGCTTGGCCCCTTAGTTCCAGTGAAGGGAACTCTTAAGGCATCAGCATACTAAGACATTTTGGACAAGTTCATGCTCCTAACTTTGTGGGAACAGTTTGAGGATGGCCCCTTTCTGTTCCAACATGACTCCACACCAGTGCACAAAGCAAGGTCCATAAAGACATGGAAGAGTAAGTTTGGGGTGGAGGAACTTGACTGGCCTGCACAGTCCTGAGTCCTGACATCAACCCGATAGAGCATGAATAGAGGATGAATTAGAGCGGAGACTGTGAGCCAGGCCTTCTTATCTGACATCAGTGCCTGACCTCACAAATGCGCTTCTGGAAGAATCATCAAACATTCCCATAGACACACTCCATAACCTTGTGGACAATCTTCCCAGAAGAGATGAAACTGTTATAGCTGCAAAGGGTGGGCCAAGTTAATATTGAACCCTACAGACTAAGACTGGGATGCCATTAAAGTTCATGTGCGTGTAAAGGCAGGCGTTCCAATACTTTTGGCAATACAGTGTGTATTAGGGGTTGGAGTCTTCATGTGTCAACGCATTTCTCTTACAGCGTCTTCAGGACGCATGAGATATATACACTGAAATATGAATAGAATCACATAATAATTCTATATAGCATACGTACATATTATATTGTATTCAATTAAATTAACATATATCCCCTATATAAGAAAAGTTTCTAAGGCACCTTGGTCATGCATATCAAACTGGCCTACAGGTCTCCCCTGGGACGGGCACTGGAGCACACATCAGGTCAGTCCAGGCCTTAGACAGTAAGATGGTGTTCACCTAGTGGCACACTGTATATAATGTATACGATAGCTAAATATAAGATAGATGTATGGGGGCAAACACCAAAATAACTAAATTTTCTTATACCTACCAAAAGATTTGTTATGGGTAGTATATGTAGGTCATTAATACCACAGTTAGTGCCAGTCCCTTACTATAGTCTTGCCAATAGATCCATATCCAAAGTCATATATGGAAACATCTAAATCAATGAATAAAATCATTATATGTCTTACACTGAAAGAATATATTATTCATCCCAATAAAATCATCGTCCAACCCAACTCTGGTTTCACCATGGGCAATAATTCTATGTGGGCCAAACAGATATTGTTTATTCACTGCATAGGGCAATGGTCCCCAAAGTGCTGTAAACAAAAACAAGACACTGAGCCAATGGAAACCGTTCATCCATCATATTGGCAACAAGAAAGCCTCACAAATCATAATTAGCTTAAAGCATCTATATCGTAAGATAATGTGTTCCCATACCACTATATGTAAGACATAACATTCATACAGCTAGAACGTGGAAAGGCTCCAACCTTTAGGTTTCCCCTATAATATAGGCCAATATAATATCATATCAGGGCTATGTTTGCTGTCTCAAGAGCCAATGCCTCCATAGAGTATTCCAGCATGCTCACCTGAATCCAATGATGTTATCAATCCGCGTGGCCACGATGCAACAGAGCATTTGCGGTCCTTGTAGGTGAGGACACTGGCTGGCGGCACAGTCACCACTACTGAGCATGTACATAGAGCACATCGCTCAGACATAATGTCCACCACATGTCAGCACTCCGCCTCGCCAAAGGCAAGAATTGTCAATAGGGGTAAACAAAACTGGACAAAAAAAGAAAAAACAAAAAGGACAAAACAAAATAAAACAAGATAGAACCAAGCAATACCAAAACGAAATAGAACAAACAGCCATATTAATATTAGCAAATTAACCACCCCTGACCCAATGGGAACAACCCATTCCCTAAATGGGGACAGCCTCAAATCCATTCATGGAAGGAAGGGGACAAAGGTTATTAAAGTGTCCCCTCCAACTGCACATCAAAAAGTAGTTGTAAGCGGCCACCGAAAAACCTAAACCATATGGATCCATACATGACCAAGAAATACCATATATAACTCTTGTTGAAATCCTATATATTTACACATATATTACCAATGCTTCATATTAAACTGTTACCAACAAAAGCAACCAAAATAGTTGCCAAATCGACTATATTGGTAACTTAAAGGAAGGGCTTAAAACTGAATATATCATTCAGGCCAGGACCACTAGTGGCCCTCTCTTTGCAGAACTTATTTATCAAAATTGCACCCCCCCAGGATCCTCCCGAACTTTTTCTAGGACTATGAATAAAAGTCAGAAAACCTTTCCTTTCAGAATCAACATTTTCTATGGAATGCTATACTACAAAATATTCCTGTAAATGTGGGCCATTGATTGCAAACAAGATTTGTTAATTTGCACACACAAAAAAGTATTTTTCCTAACAAATTTATTAAAGACCATGTTGCAAAAATGAATACACCCCAATGAAAGTCTTAGCAAAGCTAAATTTTGAACATCAAAATTCTAATTAACAAGAATTCAACTACAGGTGAGTCTAAATATTCATTAAACAGGTGTCCAGCAGACAGTTGATTATAAAAGGGTGTTACTTTGCAAAGAAAACCCCTTCCCATTTCATGCACCCAGCAATGGCACCACATGGAAGAAAAATGTCACAAGGCATGAGAAAGAAAATAATTTCTTTACACAAGAAAGGTGAAGGCTTACAAGAAGATCAGCAAAACTTTACTTATCAGTCAGAATACTGTAGCAAAAGTGATACAAAAATTTAACAGAGATGGAACTGCAACCATCTCACAGAGATATCCAGACTGTCCACAAGTTAACACCTCGACAGTAACGTCTTCTGATGAGAAGGGTTGAAGAAAATCACCATGCAAGTTCACTGCAGTTAGCTAAGGAAGTAAAAAGCCAAACTGGGGTGATTGTTTTCTGTGACACAATATGGCATACACTGCAGAGGAATGGCATGCATGGGTGTCATCCATGAAGGAAGCCTCTCCTAAAGCCCATGCACAAAAAAGTCCACCTAGAATTTGCCAGGGCCCATGCTGAAAAGGAAGATTACTGAAACTCTGTACTCTGGAGTGATGAAACCAAGATAAATGGCTTCAAAAGGTTACAAAGGTGAGGAGTACAAAGTAAAAAATGCATGGTGCCTATAGTTGAACATGGTAGTGGCAGTGTCCTTCTGTGGGGTTGTATGAGTGATGCTGGTGTCGGGGAGCTGCATTTTATTGATGATATCATGAATCCACAGATGTACTGCTCTATATTGAAAGAGAAGATGCTACCATCACTCAATTCCCTTGGTCTTCATGCAAAATTCCAACATGACAATGATCCAAAGCACACATCTAAAGCCACTGTTGCATTTCTGAAGAACAGGGTGAAACTGAATCAGTGGCCAAGTACTGCCTGTCTCCTGATTCGAACCTAATTGATCACCTATGGGGAATTTTGAAGAGACTTGAGCATCACTTTCCATCCAGCATCCAGACTCTAAAAGAGGTCGGTCTTGAAGAATGGAAAAAAAACAGATGTTGCAATATGTCGCCAACTTGTTCATTCCATCCCTAGAAGACTTGGTGCTGTCCTTAGAAATCATAGAGGTCGCACAAAATACTAGGTGTTTTTTTTGTCGTGGGGTGTATTTGTTTTTGCATCAACTAATTTGAGTAAAACTGAAGATTGTGTAATCTAAGTTATATTATTAACTTTACTTTCATGTAATGAGCTAAACAAATGATTTATATAACTCAGTTTTGTCAAAATTTTGGAAATTGTTTTGTGTTTATTGAGATATTGATTAAAATCTTACTTTTCAAAAGGGGTGTACTCATTTATGCTGAGCACTGTATATAGCTCCCTAACCAACAATTAAAAAAAATAAATGATTTTAAAAGTCTAACTAATTGTATATAAAATCCAACATTTCTATTTTTCCATTTAAAAGTAACCAAGATAAAAATGTGTATTTTTTGCTATTTGTTAAACATACATACAGTATTTCATATACCGTATTTTTCAGACTATAAGGCGCACCGGATTATAAGACGCAGTATTAGTGAACGGATCTATTTTCATATATAAGACGCACCGGATTATAAGGCGCATAAAGCGAAACAAAATAGTCGGATAAGTCAGACTTTATTCAAATCATTAACAATAACTGTCAATATTACACAATAGATCCAGTCAGACCACAATATTACACAATATTAAAGCGAAACAAAATAGCCGGATAGGTCAGATATTACACAAAAGAGTATGCTCACTTTTTCAATCATTCATATTCTACGAATCCATCAAATTCCTCGTCTTTGGTGTCGGAATTTAACAGTTGGGCGATAGCGGCATCAAGCAAGCCCGGATCCCTCTCGTCATCATCCGATTCAGTCTCATTGCTGTTGCTTGGCTGTTCATCGATGATTCCGGCCTTCGTGAAAGCTCGGACGACAGTTGAAACCGATACCTTAGCCCAGGCATCGACGATCCATTGGCAGATAGTGGCATAACTAGCCCGGCATTGCCTGCCTGTGTTGGTAAATGTGTGCTCACCTTCTGTCATCCATTGCTCCCATGCGGCTCGCAATTTAGCCTTGAACGCCCTGTTGACACCAATATCTAGTGGTTGGAGTTCTTTGGTCAATCCTCCAGGAATGATGGCAAGCTCCGAATTGGTTTTCTTCACTTGGCTTTTGACAGTGTCAGTGAGATGAGCGCACATAGAGTCGTAGATCAATAAGGCCAGGGACTTGTGGAAGAAGCCATCTGGTCTCCTGACGTAAACTTCTCTCAGCCACTCACTCATTTTCTCCTCGTCCATCCAGCCTTTTGGATTGACCTTGACGATGATCCCAAGAGGAAACGTTTCCTTTGGCAAAGTCTTCCTCTTAAAAATGACCATGGGTGGTAGTTTCTGGCCATTAGCCTGGCAACCAAGAACTACAGTGAAGGATGATTTCTCATTCCCTGTGGTGCGTATAGATACAGTAGACGTCCCTGTTTTTTCTACAGTACGGTTCGCGGGGATGTCAAAGGTGAGAGGGATCTCGTCCATGTTTGTGA